GTTATACTTGTAATAAAATATATAATAATATCAGATAATCATAATCAATAACATCAAATAAATTAAGATAGAAAAATTATAAAAATGTGATCAAACTTATACAAAAATCGTAATAAAAAAGACGTTTATATGGCAAGACACGTGCGTAATGCATCTTTCACGTACGTTCGGCTTGTAAGGTTAATCTATGATCATGCTGTTCGGTTGGAAAAAATACTTGCAACATGACATAAACATATATCTATGATCATCGCAAGTATTGCTAAAAGTAGCCATGAATCTAAGTAATAGAGAAAATTAAAGTAGCATTAAACTCCGGCCACGTGTTAAATTTCAAAATGCATTTTTCATTGAAGGTTACCCTCTTTGTCGAGAACCGCGTATCATAATAACCATTCAAAAATTACAAAATAACAAAATTTGCATAAATAACGCACACATTTACATTACCTGGTCTGCCCATGACGAATCGTATATACGTTCAGCTTACGAGATTATTTTCGGCTCTACTCAAAGCCACAAGTCACATGCGCTAACAGCGTCAAAATTTTCAGAAGGAAATCGAAAGGCCCATCGAAAGAGGAGAAGAGGACAAGAAAAGAGAGCCACCATCTTCCGGTGAGAAGGCAAATCCGAAATGATGATTGGTTGATTCCTTTACGTAAACCCCGTATAGCCCGTATCAGATTACGCATTGAAGATCGAGATTGAAGATTGAAGATTGAAATTTGAACAATCAGAACAAAGAAATTTTAGTCATTTTTGTTCTGATTAGTCAAATTCCAATCTTTAATCTTCAATCTTCCATTTTCAATATGTAGTCTGATACGGGCTTATCAGACTACGTATTAAAGATTGGAATTTGACCAATCAGGATAAAAGGAACTAAAATTTCCTTGTCCTGATTGGTCAAATTTCAATCTTGAATATTCAATCTCAATCTAAATGCGTAGTCTGATATGGGCTTTATGCCCGTATCAGGATGCGAACTCATGCAGCGGAATAGCGTAACGCGGAACGAGAGCAATGAAAGATGACCAATCGCGAGCGTTCTGCAGTTTTCGCTACGCTCGCGATTGGTCCGCTCTTGTTCCGCGTTACGCTTTTTCGCTGCCATGGGTTTGCACCCTCAGACTACTGTTACGTCTCGACAATGCTCTTTTCTTACTATATCTTAGTTAGTGAGAAAAGGATAGCTCTCTATTTTTATAGGGCATCCTGCTTCCACCGGCTATACCCCAGGGACGCCGAGAGCTAGGACTGATCTGGTGGATTCTAGGGGAATGACTTAGGCACGGAACTAACCTTTTACTAGAGTGATTTTACTGGGTGTTAGATATAGGAATATACGCATGCGCAATTAGGGTGCCATTACATGAAGCGCGGAAACGCGGATTAGCGTAACGCGGAACCAATCGCGAGCGTAACGAAAACTGCAGAATGCTCGTGATTGGTTCCACTCTCGTTCCGCGTTACGTTAATTCGCGTTTCCGCGCTCTATGTAATGGCACCCTTAGATATATTCAATTTTGAGGGTCTTCAGGGTTTTCAAGCAGGGCAATTAGTTGATCTATATCCAGATTACCGTCTAGAAAATTGGTAATAAGTCTAAAGGTGCCTTTACATGGCAGCGTCAAGCGTCAAGCGTCGAGCGTTAAGTGTCTGCGCAGAATATTGTTGCCCAGAATTATATTTCATTTATTTTATTATATAACAGATGTGTGTGTGTGTGTGTGTTATTATTAATCAAAGATATATTATGAAACGTTACTACTCTGGCAATGTAAATTAAAATTAAATTAAAATACAAATGCGGCAAAAGATTTTGGATGGTTGAAATATTCAAATAAATAAGACACAAAAAGGGATTCACAAATGACAAAACGACACAGTTTGAAAAACTATTGTTAAAAGTAGGAAATGATTTAAAGGAGCAGTATGTTATAAACATGTAGGGAA